ATTTGACTTGGTAAACAATATGAATTACACCTATTGATCAATTTACTTTTCTGATTGCTCATCATACATTCTACTTGTTTGTGTCACTAAGATACAAACAATCAATTACTACAAGACTGACTATAACTCGTATTTATTAATAAATGACTCTTCCAACCATTTCAACATATTATTGTTTTATTACATCTTTTCATTATCATTGAAAACCCCAAATCTGCTGATCCTGAATTATTGTGCAACACCCATTACACTTTTGATTTGTTATTTTCTGTCAACTACTAACAGTCACAGATCATACACACACCTCCATTTAAATTAATGTAAATCAGATTACACAAAACTCCAACAGAGTTGTTGGTTGTTGATGAGCAAGTTGGATATAAAGTTGTTTTCAATTAATCCGTTGACAGTCATGATATCATACTTTGATTTGTATGTACGCAATACTGCTGTCATCTTGTGTATGGTGTTTTGTATTCCTACAAACACATTCCATTTCCAGCTGTTTTTTGCAGACATTTGATGTTGTGTAACAATGAGGGTGTAAAATGTAGTACAGAAATAGATGACTAAATTACAATTATTCCAACGGATTTAGTACTCTTGTTCAAGTAAAACAGTATCATCCGATGCTCACTACACACTACTTGTACGTTGAATCATGCCAATCACTTGCTACTTTAATAAACATGGAATATCACAACAATATTGATGACCAACTAATATCCGAGTGTCAACTTATTGCAGTTTTCGTTTATGCTTATTTCTTAACCCTGACCCTTGACTATAGCCATTTTTAGGGTGAAGCTTTATAATCAACCATATGCTATTTGAGCGTATGATCAAATAGCGGCTCAACCAAAATTTTGGATCACCATATAAAGGGAGATCCCTTCAAAGTTTGGCATTGACAACAAATCAACATTCAACCCTGACAACGCTAGCCCTTGAAACGGTCATTCAAGGAGTATGCTTTTAATATCATTTATTCAATAACGAATATAAATATAGTTCAAAAACCGACTTGTTGAATGACATTACAACTTGCTCAACCAAACCAGTAGAATGAAACTCGCAGTTGCTGTATTGTCATCGATCTTGCTTGCCCTCTCGGTTACTACAGCCAATCCAGTCAACCCCAGTGCAACTACAGATGTTGAAACTAGCACTTCAACCGTCATTCCCAGTGCAACTACAAGTACTGAAGCTAGCACCTCGTCAACTCCTAATCCAAACGGTATAGGCTTGGGTGCTCTTGATACACTTCCAGGTAACGTCAAGTATTTGCTCGAAAGATACGTAAAGCTAGATCATAATCGTAATCATCATGAAAAAATATGCGACTCGTTAAAATCTGAATATGAGGATCAAAAGAAACTGGTAACGGACTTGGGAACAAAGCTTTATATTTTGAAACGTAA